GGGCAAGTTCAGAGTCTCTTCTGACATCCATTTTGGTCTTTTCTTCCTTTCCTGTCTTTTTAATGACCTTTTACTTTCTTCATGGATGATGTTCTTGATGTCATCTCATAATTCCTCTGGTTTTCGATCACTGGTGTTCAATGCATCAAATCTATTCTTTAGATGGTTTCTACATTCAGGAGGGATATATTCAAGGTCATATTTTGGCTCTTGTGGACTTCTTTTAATTGTCTTCAGCTTCAACTTGAGCTTGCATATGAGCATCTGATGGTCTGTTCCACAGTCAGCTCCTGGGCTTGTTTTGATTGAAGATATTGAGCTTGTCTGTTGCCTCTTTTCACAGATGTAGTCAATCTGATTCCTGTGTACTCCATCTGGTGAAGTCCATGTGTATAGCTGCCATTTATGCTGTTGAAAAAAAGGATTTGCAATGAATAAGTCATTGGTCTTGCAAAATTCTATCATGCGAACTCCAGCGTTATTTCTATCACAAGGCCATATTTTCCAGCTACTGATGATTCTTCTTTGTTTCCAACTTTTGCATTCCAATCACCAGTGATAATTAACACATCTTGATTACACATTTGGTCAATTTCAGACCGCAGAAGTTGGTAAAAATCTTCAATTTCCTCATCTTTGACTTTGGTGGTTGATCCATAAATTTGAATAATAGTAGTATTAACTGGTCTTCCTTGTAGGCATATGGATATTATCTTATCATTGACAGCACTGTACTTTCAGGATAGATCTTGAAACATTCTTTGTGATGATGAATACCATGCCATTCCTCTTCAATTTGTCATTCCCAGCATAGTAGATCATATGATCATCTGATTCAAAATGGCCAAAGCCAGTCCATTTCAGCTCACTAATTCCTAGGATATTGATCTTTATGCATTCCACTTCATTTCTGAGAACTTGCAAGTTTCCTAGATTGATACTTCAGACATTCCATGTTCCAATTAATGGATGTTTGCAGCTGTTTCTTCTCATCTTGAGACATGGCACATCAACAAAAGGGGGTCCTGAAAGCTTTACTCTATCCATGTCCTTAAGGTCGGGTCTACTCTGAGGAGGCAGCTCTTTTCCAGTCATATTTTGAGTGTCTTCTGACCTGAGGGGCTCATCTTCTGGCACTGTATCGGACAATGTTTCAGGGCTATTCATAAAGCTTTCCAGTAATATATGAGACAGTGTTTCACTGTTATTCATGAGGCTTTCACTGGCCAACTCTTTGAGAAGTGGATGGTCTCTTCATTCTTCAGAGTCTGTCTTAGTCTGGAAGCTCCACTGAAACCTGTCCACCATGGGTGACCCTGCTGGCATTTGAAACACCGGTAGCATAACCACCAGCCTCACAGCAACACTCAAGCCACCACAGTATGATAAACTGACCGACAAGTTTGTCTCCCCTAGCTATTCTAAACCGCTCTGTCATTTCCTGGCCTCCTCCACCCTGCTTGCTTACCCGGCCTGCCCCTGGGGCACACACCTGCCTTCTACTCGTCCTGGGGCCAGCCTCCTGTGGTCTGCTCACAGGGTGGCTCCATGCATGTAAACATCCACCTTCTGGTGGTCCCAGGGCCAGCTTACTTCAGCCTGCACCTGACCCAGCTCCACACATACAAACACCCACCTTCCCCTGGTCCCGGAGCCAGCTAACTGCCACCTGAGCCTGGGGGAGGGCTCCACTCATCCAAACACCTGCCTTCCGCTGGTTCCAGGGCTGGCTTACCATACAGCCATATAACACCCTAATCCTACTAGATTTATACCTAGTCTCTATACCAAAAACATTGTTTTTACCTATGTTTAGCAAATAGGAAAATGTGGCTATTAAGATAGTCAAATGTACACAAAATCAGGTATACTTTAAAGTACTTTTATTTTTTTCCTTAAACACTGACTTTAGATTGTAATCTGCATACAAAATCGAAATTTAGTGTAATGAATTGCCAAATATTAGTACAGTATATTTATTTTACATAAGTAGACAGTTAAGGAGCCCTGGTGGTGTAATGCTTAAGGTATCTGGCTGTTAACCAAAAGGTCAGTGGTTCAAACCCATGAGCTGCTCTGTGGAAGAAAGATGAAGCAGTCTACTTCTGTAAAGATTTATAGCCTTGGAAACCTAATGGGGGTTGCTATGAGTTGGAATTGACTCAATGGCAATGAGTTTGGAGTGTTTTTGGAAGTAGACAGTTACCTGATGTTTATCAATCTTGTATGCTTCGGTGGGATTATCTTTACAATAGAAGTAAACGTGATCAATAGGATTCTTGTCTTTCATTCCATAATCCATGTTGATAACCTTAATAAAAGCAACATATACATGATATCTTACATAATAACCATGAAAATTGAGTTTAGGGTGGCAGGGCATTATAAGAAAAGGAAGGAAAAGAAAAAAAAAAAGGGGCTCTCTGGAAGTTCAGAAGCAAGAACTGTTAAGGTGGCTCATAGTGCAATGAAAATAACTCTGGTGTATGATCCATTCAGATTTTGTTTTGAAATATGGTGGAAAAGAAAGTATTTGTATATTCTGAATCTATTATATGATAGACACTGTGCTGGGCACTACAGACAACAGACAAATTTTATACACAGTTCCAGGTCCCACAGACCATGTGGCATAGTGAGATTGAACAAATACAGCAAAACCTGTGAAAGCCAGAACTTGCATAAGGTGGAAACCTTTCAGAGAAGGTAGTATTATTAATAAAGAGCTAAAGAAAAATGGTAAGCAGAAAACTTGCAAGGTCTGGAAAAACAATGCAGTCCTAGTGAGTTCTCATTCTTACAGGTTTTACTATAATCATATTTGTTAAAAGTATTACCAAAGAAAAGCAAAGGGTACCATGAAACTATATATGTAATAGTGACCTAACAGAGACTGAAGTAGACCTGGTGGCACAATACTTAAATACTCAGCTGCTAACCAAAAGGTCAGTAGTTTGAATCCACCAGCTGCCTGTGGGAGAAAAGACATTGCAATATGCTCCCATAAAGATTACAGCCTAGTAAACCCTATGAGGCAGTTCTACCCTGTCCTATAGGGTTGTTAAGGAGCCCAAATCAACTCAATGGTATTGGGTTTGATATTTTTGGATATTAGCCATATGATCACAATTACATAAAAAATATTGATAAAACATGTCAAAGAAAATTTAAAAACTGCTTTTTCCCAATTTTCTATAATGGACGTCTACTACATTTATAATGACAGGGATTTATCTTTTTATTTTTTAAGAAAAGACTTTATTTACTTATGGTCAGCATCAGGCTGGCTACTTACATCCACTACCAAATCTTTAGGCTCCAGTTCATCTTGTTGTGATACATGACTTTTAGCACCAGCAACCTGTTGTGGAAGATTTTTATACTCTTCCTAGAAAAAAATAAGATTCCCTGTGTCAGAACTCCAGTTCTTCATTAAATATTTATACCACTAAGATGTTCATACTCTAAAAATGACGTTGTTGTGAAAAAATGGGTAGATACATTTATAAAATACATGGATCCTACTTTTGCCATCATTTAAGGAGCTCTGGTGGCATAGTGGGTAAAGCATGTGGCTGCTAATGAGAAGCTGGCTGGTTCAAACCCCACCAGGTGCACGACAGGAGGATGATGAGGCAATCCACTTCCATAAAGATCTACAGTCTTGGAAACTCAGTGGTGGTCACTATGAGTCATAATTGACTCACTGGCAGGGGGTTTGATTTCTGGGTTTTTTTTTTTTTTTTGCCATCCTTTAAACAAACTACATAGAGAATCTGCATTAACACATTTTTTTTTTTTTACATTTTTGAAAAAATGTGATATTAACTTATTAGTAAATAAAAGCTCATAAAACATAACCCAACGAAGTGTCATGATGTAGAGTGTGGTTATCAGTCTGACTAGTGTTACTGGCTTACTTACAAAGAGAAAGACTTCAACAGCAAGAGGGGAAAGGGATACTGGAACTGTAGAAGACAGATATGCACAATCAGGAAACCCTGACATATGTGAAAGTAGTAGTTAAAAGCAGGTCCTCAGAGTCTTGATGAAGGTCATACAGGTACTTTATTTTGAGGTCCCTTATCATTAGATAAGAAGCTCTGGTGGTATATTGGGTAAGATACTTGGCTGCCAACCAGAAGGTTGGTGGTTCAAACCCACCAGGTGCTCCATGGGAGGAAGATGAGGCAATCTACATCTGTAAAGATATACTGTCTTGAAAATCCAATGGGGGTCACTATGAGTCAGAATTGATTCAATGGCAGTGGGTTTCTTTTTGGTTTATCTCTAGATCCAAGGAGCTCTGGTGACACAATGGTTCAATGTGTGTCTGCAAACCGAAAGGTCAGTGGCTTAAACTCACAAGCTGCTCTGCAGAAGAAAGACACGGAAGTCTACTTCTATAAAGATTATAGACTTGGAAACCCTATGAGGCAATTCTATTCTGTCCTATTGGGTTGGTATGAGTAAAATTGACTCAATGGCAACAGTTTATTATCTTTAGATCCATTTTCTTGCCTTTAGGTAAGGACAAAATTTGAAGCCCCCTTCTCATTTCCAAACAAAAGTTTGGAGTCAGTTATACCTGACTTTTTTTTTTTTTTCAATTTTGATTTGGGTGAAGATTTACAAAGCAAATTCATTTTCTATACAGCAGTTCACATATACTTTGTCTCATGTCATTGACCACAGTTTACCACAATGCAACAGCTCCCCTCCCACTTCCTCCCCATAGTTACCTCTTCCC